CTCAATGGGGGATAAAACCCACAACCTAGGTATGCGCCCTGACCAGGATCCGAAATTGTGACCTTTTGGTGTATGGGACAACACTCAATCAACTGATCCATACAGCCAGGGCACTGGTTACATTTTTTTTATCTCAAATTGTATGGACCCTTGTAATAATAGCTCGTGTTGCCTCTTTATTCTGGACTATGATTATCTCTATGATTGCCTCTCTGACAAATAGTGTATAGTCCATAATCTTTCCAGTGTCTTCTCACCCCGATGTTTCATAACTCAGTGACTCTGTCTTAGAGTTGTTCTGCATTTGCTTGCTCATCCATGGTGACCTTGTTTGAGCCTTATTTAGTTTATTTGTTGCCTGACAATACATACCAAGCCTTACAGGGACCATTGACTTTATATACATTCAATTTATTGACTTTAGTCATCACTGTTGCCTCATAGACCCAAAAAGAACCCCAAAAGGTATACACCAAGGCCACCCTTAAAAGGTGAATGCCCTTCTCATTGAAGGAGAAGAAGGGCATTTCAGGGATATGGAGGTTCAACCTTCCTAGTCCCCATCCAGCCTCCCCCTTCCGCCATGATTTTTCTTTCTTTTTCTTTTTCTTTTTTTCAGTACCCAGCATTGATCTTACAGATAATCACAGATTGCAGCAATGTAACCCTGAGAATTCAGGTTAGTTTGTCTGCTTATGACTGTCATCACACACTCTTTTTTTCAGTTTGCTTGGATGTGGTATAGAGTTTATCACTGATTAAAAAATTAAAATCAGGTCTGCAATTGCAGAAAACATTGAATAAATTTATATCCAAGAAGATAAGTATCCCTATTATGAAATCTCCTCACATCTGTTAACTCCTACTGAATAGTGGGTGACCTCAGTATAGTGAGTTACAAAATGATAAATAACTTATATTGAATATTATAGGCATATTATCAAGGAAATGTATAAAAACTTTATCTACAAATATACCAGGGATTACCCAGTACCATCTCAGAGTCTATTAAACTAATACAGTAGAAAAATGTATTTTACCATGACCTAAAAAATTTAAAACATGGTCCTTAGATCTGCTTAAAAAAAAAAAAGCACTGATTAGGAATCAAAAGATCCTTATCTATTTTGACCCAACTACCAGGAAATCTTGGGCAAATCCACCCTGTCTGTGAGCCTCTCTCGTCCATCTCCCATCACTGACAAAAGGTAAGAAGATCCTGCACTTAAGGTCAAACGGCAGCTTCTTTCCCTGGTGGAGCCTACGTCATTCCTGGGCTAGTTGCCTCATGCACATCCGGCCCAGCAATTAGGTGTGTGTCCACTAAGAGTTTGTTGTGATTGTTGCCAGGGTCCTTGTAACTACTTAATGCAGTACAAAATTTGTAAATTGATGAAATGAAAATATAAAAGGGCAGTTTTATGTCTCTGACAAATAATTAAAAGCTAAGGTGACTGTTACTAACGAAACATACAGATGTATTAAATGTATAAGACTGGACACAGCATTTAGAGGGTTTCACTTCGCAGGCATTTTGGACTCTATCAGTATGAGGCCATTTTAAACAAAACTAAAGACAGGAAGTTTTTGTATTTACAGGGATGGGTTGAATTTGGAATGCGAATTTGCTTGAGGGCCAGCTTGTGGTACATTTTCATAGGTACTTATTTTTTAAGTTTTTACTTCCCTCTGCTTTGCTCATTCCCTCTTATGGGTGTGGAGTGGCACTACTTCATATTCTTCTTACGCCAACGGTACTGTTCTTTGGGGTCCCACCTGGTAAATTTGAGGCCTCTGACTCCCAAGTTTCGCAGGCGCAAAGATTTGACATTTGTCTTCTTGCCTAAAAAGCCTGTCAAAACAGCATTTCAATATTTTCCAATCAGGAAAAAATTTCAGGGCAAGAGTGGCTTCCTGCGTATGCTTACTTCTCTAGGGCCCTACTTTCCCTTAGAGCTTGGCCAGCTAATCTCTCTTTGCTTTTTCAGCTCTTTGATGATACTTAAATTATATTCCAACAAAACAGTTTTTTTTTCAGCAAGAGGGTTTTTCTTTATAACCTGGCCCACATCACACCCTATAGACTTTCCACAAGCCACTTATTTATGATTCCTGCCGAAAACCAAACTGGCTTTTGAAATGGACACGCCCCTCCGGAAGAGGTTGGTAATGGGTAAGGCTTAGATTGCCATAACAAACTGCTCCTAAAGTAAAACTAAAGTCACGGGGCTCCTTTGTATTACCTGATTCTGCCACCAAACATGCTAAAAGACCTTATAAATTTTAGGTGCCCAAACTGTTGGTAGGCAATGATTTTATTTCACTTCTATTTCATGATTCTTTTTCTTGTCAGTATTTTGAGAAAGCTAAATTTATATGTATCATCTAATACAGTACTTTCCAGTAAAACTTCATATGATGACAGAAATGTCCATGTGGGACTATTATACACTTGATATGTAGCCAGTGGGATTGAGAAACTGAATTTTTAAGTAATTTTGTTCTAATTAATTTAAATAGCTACATGTGGCTAGTGCCTTGCCATATTGGACAGTGCAGATTCTCAAACTTCGGTCTGATACTTCAGGACAAATATTAGTTATATAAGAAGGCTTCATAAAAATACTTTTGTAAAGTACTGCAAACACTAGAGACAATCCTAGTTATTTGTTTTTGGTCTTTGTTGTGATACTCTGATGAGGGCATACATAGAGTGAGGGACACAAAAGGTCAAGAAATTTTGCCTTTTTGAGATTACAGGATGGATCATTTATTAATCTATTGATCCCTTGACAGCTATCACCTGAACATCTAGCACTTCCCAGGCACTTGGCATTGGACCTCGGGAGGAAAGCAAAACAAAGGTCCTGCTCTTGTGAAGTGTGCAGTCTAGTTGGGGAAACACACAGGAAACATACAATATATACAATTAATATACAATTTTATATTAAACAATTTTAAATCAATGAACATCTCCATACTTTCTTTTCCTGGATATTTTTAAATGTGGGAAAGCGTCTAAGTCCAAGGTTCTCAAAAGCTTACTAAAGGCTTAGTAATCAACTCTTGGGCAATTATGTCACTCTAACACTATCTCACTTCAACAAGGCAAATAAACTGTGGGTGTTTGTATCAGCTAAGTAAAGAGTTTCTGTTTGTTTTGTAGTTTACTGTTTGGCCCATTCAATTGGGAGGCCAAACAACATATAAGGTTAATGGAAAAAACGTTTCTCTAAAGTCACAGATTTATCAAATTATTGACATTTTTGCCCATGTAAAGGAGCTTAGAAACAATCTAGACCAACCCCTCATTTTACAAATGAGTAAAGAAGCCTAAAAAACAAATTTATTGGACATGAATATGCACTTGCTGTCCTAGCCCCAGGTTTTAAGAATCCTTCACCAGTGTTCTAGCGACCATATCACACCAACTTCAAAGTAATCCAAATTGTTCTGATTTCTCAAAGTTCCCAGTCAATTCATTTTCTGGAATCAATTAATTTGAGATTTTAATGTTTTCATGATAACAAAAATTTAGTACAAATTCATGAACTTGACATTCAGATCTCACATGTCTCACCATACATCCTTCCAAATTCCAGGGTCTACACACATTGTTTTTCCAACTCTGAGCTCCCACCAGAATGCACTTCCTCCTATTCCTGCTTACTTACCCTCAATGTCTACTGAAAGACTACATCTTGCATGAGAATTGTCCTCAAACCTAACCAGAAGAGGTCAATAGCTCTTTGTATTTCTCCTGAGGATTTGGACTCTGCCTTATAGTGCCACATAGTTCTTACTTTTTTAGCTCTTGTCCCTCCTTGCAATCAATAAATATTTAAACTAAAATAAACGTCCATGGAGGCTAAAATTTTCCATTAGGTTTTTCTTGAGGCAGTTGCCAAGTGTTTAAAAAAGCCAGGATAGGGAGACAGACATGAGTGGGATGAAAAAGACTCAAATTGCTTTATAGAGAGCCTTGGTGTCAGGACATTTTGTCTTTTCTGGGTGATTTTTCTTTTATTTTTAAAATTCCTAATCTATTCAGTGAATCGGCCCAGATACTCTATATATTTTACGTGTAGTGTAAAAACCTACAGAGATAAATTTAAGAGCTTTAGGAAACATTAAAGAAAACAAGAAAGGTCATATAAATACTTGCCTGGACGCATTTTGTTGCAATTTAATTTCTCCTTCAATTTTCATAAATAAATGTACCGATAAAAAAAGATCAGAAACATAAAAATCCACTTTATCATTTACCAAAGTAAAAAACAACCAAGGAATTTCTCTGCAAAGCTCTTAAGCAAGGCCCAAATTTCATTGAAAACTTTCCTCAAGACCACTGTAATCTGACCACACCCATATTTAATACTGCTTCTGATAAAATGTTACGGTTCTCTATTTTCTCTACTTTGCTGTAAACCTCTCAAGCTCTTCATATGAAAACCGTGTTAGATGGCCGAACCTGGTGAATGATTATCAATGAAAACCGCATAAAGTGCTGTGGAATGGAGATGGAAAAAAAAATCAATTGTGTTCTCCTAAAAGAAATGATGACAGTAGGGAAGGAAAAAAGGTCATGAGTAAAGCCCAGCAAAAGCACAAAGGTACAGAGTCAGCATCCTCGGCGGGAGAGGCCGGCGGCCTGGCTCCAGAGCCCTCTGGGTTCGGCTGCGAGAAGAAGGGCACGAATAGCTGCTCCTGCGAAACAGTGTGCGAGAGTGTGCTTGTGTCAGCGCACGAATCTCTCACACCGCCCGCAGGGTCTGGGCACTCGTCACAACCCTTGATCGCTTGGTCAGCAAACAACAGCTGATCTGGCACCCTCCCACTCCTAGACTGTCCACGCCTACAAACAGCCGCTAATTTCGGGGAGGCCGGAAGCCCTTTTGCCCCGGCTCGCGGGTCTACTAACTAGGCCGGTCAGCACCGGAAGCTCTTCTGCCCCGATCTTTGGGCGCGTCAGCGCCGGCCGCACAGGCGCAGTGGAGCTCAGGTCGAGTTGTGGGAGGGGAAAAGGAAGAGGTGGAGGGGGGCGGGGCCGTCCCAGAAGATGGCGGAGGCGGGGGTGAGTTGGGGTCCACCTGCGAAGCGCCAGTGCCGCGGTGCTGAGGAAAGTGGTCTGAGGAAGTGGGTGGCCTTCGGGGAGAGGAAGTGCTGGTGATTTTGCATCCTAGGAACCCTGCTGGCAAGTGCGGGAGCCAGGACTGCGGATAGGGCCTGAAGGGCGAGGGGTTCCGCTCACCTGAAGGAGGGTCGGCAAGGTCCGGACGGGGACGGCGGGGTCGGGGAGAGGTCATCTGAGAGGCCGAGGCTCCCCCGACAGTGGGAGAGGGTTCGAGAGGAAAGAAGGCTGGAGGACGGCGGGATGGGCGACCCTGGAGATCTGATGGGGGTGGAGGTCGGCGAGCTGTCCAGCATAGAGCTGTCAGGACTTGGGAGGCTGGTAACCGGGGAGACTCAGGCTCGGGAGGGTGGTGGATCCCCAAAGGTGGCTATGGCAGTGAGTTTAGAATCCACAGACAGCTGTGTTGGTTTGGGTTGAGGAGTGGGACTGTGGCATTGGGTTGGAATTGGAAACCCTGGGGGGTGGTGTGCGGGTATGCCCGAGAACTCTTGTCAAGACCGAGAAGTCCTTGGTGAGAACTATCACCCTGGGGTTTAAGAGCTGGTCAGTGGCGATCTGCAATGCGGAAAAGGAACAATAAAAGAGTGTGCATGACGGGGGGGGCAGGGAGGTGGTGCTAAAAAGGTGACCAGGACCCATGCCCAGCTAGTATGGGAGGAAAAGTTATTGAAGTGTGGTCTTAGCCAGGTAGTCCGGGAAAATGTACCTCGAAGAGCTTACTGTGTTGCAGGCTGGATGCAGAAATGCGGTAGAAAGGAATGGAGGGACCTGGCGGCTGTGCTGGCCGGGATGCGGGTTGCAGTGCCGCCGAGGATTGCAGGGAAGAGAGTCCCCAGGCCCGGGTGCAGGCGGAGTGGAGGCAGCCGGGCAGTGGCTAGACTGGGCTCTCCAACGTTTGGGTTTGGCCTTGATAGCGAACCACTTTGTGAAAATGAATGAAGAGAATGAGGCTGCTAATAGGGTTCCCACAGAAGAAAGCAATTAACCAGGTGTTCTTTCCATTTCCACCTTCATTCTTTCTCTGGACATGATGTGCTGTAGTGTGCTTTGAGTTCCCAGTAGATATCTGATAGGGAGTGACCAAGCTGTGCATCGTGTACATTTGGGGAACAGGTTGGTTCTTTTTAAACGGACAACTGTTGCTTTTCCATATGGTGGGCTGAAAAGGACAGGATAAAAGGTAATTCAGGAGTTTAAAGACAACTTGTTTTTATTGTTCTTAGAACATTATTCGCCAACCTTTTTAGAGCCCGAGATTTGACATTTAAAAGCAGTAATGGGATGTGAATGCTGCTTGCTTAATAGTTTCTGTGTTCGGGTTTTGATGTTGAGAGGAAAGGTGTGTTTCAGTGACTTCAAGGCAAATGTGTTTCTTCCTGGAAATCTTTAGCTTATGACCCACATGTGTGTGCTTATATGTAAGGAGGGTTAAACTTTTTTATTGATGTAAGTGTGTTTTTCCTAATGCTAATGCTTATTCTGTGTTAGAATGCTGTTGTAATTAAGAGAGCAGATGAATAAAAAAGATGTGAGGTAGTAACTTAGTTTTATTATTTATTAGCCTATGTGACCTAAGCACCTGAAGGGACAGGTTCATCGGAGGCAGCAAACATACTGCTTCCTTGGAAGATGAATGGCCTTGTTTGGTTTTAGGGGTTGTTGTAATGTGAGAATGTAAATGGTTCTTAACCTCGCTAGGAGATTTTGTTTGTGGGTGTGTTTTCATTGGCCTGTTGCCTGAAATTGTTTCAGTAGCAAATATCAGCTTTGATCTTCATTCACAAAGCCCAGGATCACTTCTAACCCTCTTTTATTCATCTAGAATAATATTAATCCACTAACAGGTAGTCATGTGTCTTTTCAGTTTTGATGATTTGTTATTTATCTATCCAAACTATTTGCATCGTGTTGTTCAAGGTAGAATTTTTCATGTCCTGTGGGAGTTTTTTCTTTGTCAGTTATTGAAATAAAAAGCTTATTTTGGTATTAACAGTAGTTTATCAACATAACTCTAAAAAGTGTTTCTTATGTGGCACTTAACTTTTTTTGTACAGTGTTTGTAGGTGGAGGACACGGAGTGAAATGGGAAGTGCTCTGGACATGGAGTCAGAGTGCTTGGGGCCAGTACTAGTGCTTTTTGGTAATAGTCTTATGATCTCAGAAAGTTACTTAGCCTATGTTATTTTATAAAATGGAGATTATCTTGCCTATTTACCAAGGTTATTATTGTTGAGGATCTGTTGAGTTATTATTCTCTAAAGCAGCCGTGGGCAAACTACGGCCTGTGGGCCGTATCCGGCCCGTTTGAAATGAGTAAAACTATTGAAAAAAAAGACCGTACCCTTTTATGTAATGATGTTTACTTTGAATTTATATTAGTTCACACAAACACTCCATCCATGCTTTTGTTCCGGCCCTCCGGTCCAGTTTAAGAACCCATTGTGGCCCTCGAGTCAAAAAGTTTTCCCACCCCTGCTCTAAAGGGTACTTTTGTACCAGAGACTTTTTGCCTGGTCAGCAAATTATTTCTTGAGTGACCTAAATTTTTCAAATATAGATTATTTTTTAATTTTGGAGAATCAAATTTATCCAAATATTTAAAAGTGTAAGAGTAATATTTAAAGGTGTAGGTATTCTTTGTTTTAAGAGTAATTTCAACACATAATCAGAAAACCAAACTTTAAAACAAACAAATTAGGGGATACTTATTACATGAGCTTTCACTTTAAAACAACTATTCCTCTAGTGTGTGGTTAATATTATAAACAACATTCCTTTTTAGTAATTTAAGTGTTCCACAGTAGGGAATGAATGGTCTATTGGAATTTATTATTTCTTTGAAGCGTCTGGCTATTTCCAGGAGTTCACTTTACATGTTTATGGTAGCAAGATCCAGTGGAACAGTCTTGATCTTGTCACTTTACTTGCCCACATTGGGTGTCATTTGCTTCTCCAGTAAAAGGAGAGAACAGTTAGATCACTGCCTCTTAACTTTTTTTGGTTCATGGACATTTTGAGTACTTGATATAAATTGTGGAACTGTCTCCCTAGAAAATACACATATGCACAACTTTTCCACTCCTCCTCCTCCTCCTCCTCCTCCTACAACATGGCTTGTCTGCTGGTGACATGGGCACGCTGTGCAGACTCCTCCTACCTCCTCCTCCTTCCTCCTTCCTCCTTCCTCCTTCTCCTTCTTTTTGCATTTGGCTCACATATCCCTTGCAAGAGATGATCTCCAATTTCCCTTTCATTTCTTAAATTTTAGGATATTGTGACTCTAAAGCACTTTAACTTTTGTTTTTGCCTATAGAAATTACGTACTATTGTATTATTTTGTAGTCACAAAGTTAGATTTTTGGACTTGTAAAAATTAGCTTAAAAAACTCACTCAAATAAACATCAAACAAATGTCATGTTATTTTTAAAGAAAACTTTGGGGTGAAATAGGAAGCTATAAACCAGCACTACAGGAAAAGTTGAATAAACAGCTGTGGTAGAATAACACAAACCGTTTAGAAAGTCTCAGGCAGCCTTGAAGTAGAATGAGGAAAGAGTCTCCAGCAATCAGTGGCTCTCAGCAGAGAGCACTGCCTCTCTTGGAGCATATGGAAATGTGTAGGGACATTTTTAATTGTCTCAAATTGGGGAGAGAGCATATAGTGGCGTTTAGTGGGCAAGAGCCAGGGAAGTGTTTTTGCAATGCTTAGGGCAGGTCCACACAGCAAGGAATTGTCCAGCCCCAAATGCCTAAACTCTTTGACAACCTCTGGTGAGTGAGTGTGAGATGGGGCCTACCACAATTGAAATAAGTGTTAAAACTAGTTATTTTGTTCTCTTAAAAACATTATTTATTGTACATAAAATATTCTTTGCCATTCATTCCCTTTTGGAAAAAAATGCACGAACATAAACAAAATGATTTACTAGAGCAGTTTGTATTACTAAAAATATATGTACAGTTCAACCTTGAACAACATGAGTTTGAACTGCATGGGCCCACTTACATGCCAATTTCCCTCCAACCCCCCAATAAATACAGTTGGCCCTTGGTACTTCTGCTTCTGTATCCATGAATTCAGCCTACCGGGAATTTCCAATCCATGGTTGGGAATCCACAGATGTGGGGACCAACTGTATGCATTGTTCTTTGCCATTTTGTATAAGGAGCTTGAACATCTGTGGATTTTGGTATCTGTGGGCGGCGCTCGAAGATACTGAGAGCCAATTTAGTTTTCAGGGCAGGGGCAGAAATTACAGATTTTCAACTGCAAGGCCATCAGCACCCTTTACCCCCTCTGTCCCCCGTTGTTCAAGAGTCCATTGAATATTCTTTGTTCTCTAGTAGCTGTTTTAACAGCAAAAGTGGGGCTTTGCTGTGTCTACTGGAAGTTTATGGAGTGAAGAGTCAGCTGTTGTTAGTGCAGTATGTTAAGTTGGCAATATGATTTTTTTTAAAACATTTGTTTTACTCTTCGCTCTAGTACATTTAAATAAAATTCCAAGGTGTTTGTACACTTATTCTCCTGGTCTTTGTGTTATTATATGGTCTCCCACTTATGTTGGCATTGGTACCTTGAGAATATATTATAGTTGAGATTGGTTTCTAATGTTTACCTGTGAGCAGCAGCTTGAGTTTGGCAAAGAAAGAATTCAGAGCCAAGAGCTCTAGCATAGGAAGTTTATTTAGAAAGTCCCAGAGGTAGAAGAAGTGAGCTAGCTGGGTTGTACGGACTCAGCAAACAACTTATAGAGGCAAAAGAAAGGCCTTGGTGCTTAGGAGGAAGAAAGCAAAGGTGCATACCTGAGGGAAAAGAGGGGGCAGGCTCAGGCATGCTCCAAAGAGAGAGCATACTGGGTCCTTTGTCTTAAGGGTTTGCGTCTGTTTTCTAAAGGTGGGTATTTTAGGGGGGCTCTCTGGGGAGGATCTCAGTAGATTATATATCAGCTTTCCAGGTGTGTCCTTTCAGGATCCTGGTCTCTAGGGTCAGTGCTAGGATAGGGTTCATTAGTCATTGCATCTGGTCCAAATGTCAGTCATTGCATTGCTTCATCTGTTTTGCTGCTTTTCTGGGCTGTAGCGGAAAGAAAACTGAGGCCTAGATACTATCTCTAGTTTGACCAAAACTCTGTTTACGTGGTCAACAGATCCAAGGCGTCGTTTCTGAGATTATTGAGACTGGTCAGAATTTCATTATCCTGAGGGCGTAATGCGTAAGGGAGTGGTCGTGTAAGGGAGAAGGACACAGGTGGGTTAGGGTGCTGGATGAGGCTGGTTTGAGTCAGCCATGTCTCAGTTTCCCCTCCCACTTGCCAAGGAATTTTCCTAGCTTCTTACTATCCTGCCTCAAACCCATCTTTTCAGTCATCCTCGTCTGTAGATCCAGATGCCAAAAGAGAAGCCCGAGGAGGAGTTAGGCTGGAATGGGACTCAAGGTTTAGTGGAAAGAGAAGGGGCTTTGGAATCAGTCAGATGTAAGGAAAAATTCCAGTTCTAATATTGTAGGTCAGGTGACCATAAGCAGGTTGCTAAATCTCTTTGACTTAATATCTTCATTTGTAAAATGAGTATGATAACACCTACCTTTAGGATTATTTTGAAGATTAGAGTTACTGTATGTCTGTCATGGAGTAGGCCCTCCATAAATGGGTGCTATATCAGTAGTCATGGTGATGATGATGAAGATGAAGAAGAATTCTGTAGCTACTGAACACCTTGCTAAGTGACTAGAACACATGGCATGCTGGCATGCTGCATACTACTGCAAGGAATAGTCTGCAAAACCAAGTCAGGAGATGTTTCTGGGCAATTTCAACTGGTGTTTAGGATCTTTTTCCCCATGAATCAGCTGTGACATGCACTGTTTCCCTAGTCCTCTAAGCTGTAGAACTTAGTTATGCTATAGACTAAGTAGGTTTGCGAGGACTAGCTTGAGGATAGAATTCCCCCCTTGAGTGTTGGGCACAGAGCTTTGGGTGTGGCAGAGGCTCAATAAAAAAAGTCTGTTCTCTGTTTATCATATGACACTGGTAAGCTGTGAAAGTTGCTGGTACTTATGAATATTCTCATTTTCATGCTGATTATTTCTAAAGTCAGTATCTTTCCCCTCAATTTACACATGGGTTTTATTCCAAAGCTCATTTGTAAGGTAAGTTGGAACTTGGAAGCTCAGAGGAAATATAGTTTAAATTAAGATTACATGCTCAGTTGCCTTTCTTTTCTTTTTTAAAAAAATATATTTTATTGAATTTTTACAGAGAGGAAGGGAGAGGGATAGAGTTAGAAACATCAATGAAAGAGAAACATAGATCAGCTGCCTCCTGCACACCTCTTACTGGGGATGTGCCCGCAACCAAGGTACATGCCCTTGACCGGAATCGAACCTGGGATCTTTCAGTCAACAGGCCGATGCTCTATCCACTGAGCCAAACCGGTTAGGGCTCAGTTGTCTTTCAAAAGGCCTGTTTAACCCAGTGTAGTTTGATTCAAAAAGAGTTAATCCAGTCCTAAGTGGCTTATCTCAGTGGTTAGAGCATTGGCCCACAGACTAAAAGGGTCACGGGTTCGGTTCTGCTCAAGGGTACGCACCTCAGTTGCATGCTCAATCCCTGGCCTCAGTCAGGGCAACCAGTGCGGGAGGCAACCAGTCGTTGTGTCTCTCTCACATTGATGTTTCTCTCTCTCTGTCTCTACCCCTTCCTTCCACTGTCTCCAAAAATCAATGGAAAAAAATATCCTCAGGTAAAGATAAAGAAACAAATAAAAAAAAAATAGTTAACCCAGTTTCATTAACCAAATATGCATATGTAGAGCTCCCACTGTGGACTGGGCAGGCACCGTTCTGGGTACATAGACACATTGGAGACTTAATAGTGAATAAGACCTATATAAAAAGTTTATAATCCATGAAGCAGCTATACCTATTATTAAAAGGTAGCTACTATAAGTGTCATCCTAACCTTTTAAATAAACTGCTTTGAGACTCAAAGGAAACATCATTTATGTGCTGACTTCTGATCATGCCCAGGATAAGCTATATTGTTGGATGGGATAAAAGTAAGTTAATAAAAATTGTATCGTATTTTCCCATTTAAAAAATACAGTTATATTCATAGAAAACACAGAAGAATATGCAACACTTTGGGAAGCTGAGCACCATGGTTAGAATGAGGGTTTTGGAGCCAGACACCATGGATTTGAATCCCAGCTCACCCTCTTATTAGGGGTATAAACTTGGTTAAGTCACTTAACCTCTTTTTTGCCTCACCTGTAAAATGGATATAATAATTGCACTTCCCTTTTAGGTTACTGTGAGAGTTATATGATTGACCATATGTCAGGTGCTTAGAGCAGCTCATAGAAAGCCTTAAGTGTTGTCTTAAATATAAAGGAAAGATAACTTTGGTTAGAGTGAACAAATACACCGATTGTACTAGCAAAGATCTAGGTTTTAGGAGTCAGGATCTATATGGATAAAACTCATTAGAATCTAGGTCATTTTTCATTTTCTTAGTTTCCTTTCTTCTGCTTCTACTCCAGCTTTCTCGCCAAAGCTCCCATGCTTGCAGGAAAGGTAGATTGGGCCCAGGCAGGGGTGGGGCCCAGCTGTGGCTCTGGAGGGAAGGGTCAGGTCTAGTTTCTGTGCTTGGTGTGTGTGTGTGTAGGTGACTGAATGGTGGTCTGCTTTTTAAGAGACACTTTTGTGCAGACATTCAAGTACATAAGCATTAGACTTTAAAACATGTCATTTTGTTCCCCACTGAAGATTGTCCTCATGAACAAGTCACATTTTATTGATTTTCAGTCAGAGTGTGTTAATTTTTTGTAAAGTATAAATTAGTGTATTTTCTGTAAAGTATAAATATTTAGGTAGGAGAAACAGATTTGATCTTCCAGATTCTAATGGAAGTATCCCATATAACCATTTCTCTGATGTGGAGCAAACTGTTCTTACTATTATTTTAATTTCAAATCTCTTAGGTCACATATTCTATCCTAGTTAAGTGTTAAGTATTGCACTTTTTAAAAATCACATAATTCATATAAAAATGTTTTTTAAACCTTTTTTAATTCAGTAAGTAACTAATTTAAATAAATATATCAGATTGTTATTTCATTGTTTGTTCTTTTACATTAATTACTATTGAAATCAGGACAATTATATAATCATTTATTAGACCCATACTAATTTTTTTTTTTTGTCTCTTGCAGGATTTCTGGTCGGTCCTATTTCAGGGCAAGATGCGGTTCTGTTGAAACTCCAATCTGCTTTGATTCACAGACAAGTTGCTTCAGCTGGGAAGCCTTTTTTTTCTTTTTTTTTTTTTCTGCTGGCCTACTGAACTTATGAAACCATGGCAGAAGGAGAGACAGAGTCACCTGGGCCCAAAAAGCGCGGTCCTTACATCTCATCTGTAACTAGCTGGAGTGTAAATTTGATGATTCGAGGAGTAGTGCTGTTTTTTATTGGAGTATTTCTGGCCTTAGTGTTAAATTTACTTCAGATTCAGAGAAACGTGACCCTTTTCCCACCTGATGTGATTGCGAGCATCTTTTCTTCAGCATGGTGGGTACCACCGTGCTGTGGCACAGCTTCAGGTATGTACAGGTTATTTCTGTAATGCTTAGGTATAAAATGGGGTGAATGAGTGTGGATTTTTTTTTAAAAAAATTAACTTTATTGAGGTATAATTTAAATACTAAAAATGTACCTATTTTAAATGAACAATTTGGTGGGTTTAGACAAATGCATGCATTCATGTAACTACCACCACAGTCCAGTTATAGAACATTGCCATTCCCCACAAATTCTCTTGTGCCCTCTTGCAGTCTACTTCCCAGCCCCAGCCGCAGGCTTCCGCTGATCTTTCCATGACTAGGTTATTTTTGCCTGTTATAAAATGTAATGTAAAAGGAATCATAGAGCATGTACTCTTTTGTGTCTGATTTCTATCTGTTCCATGTCTTTCAAAAATGTTATCCTAAAAACCTGATTCCCTTAGGGATGAGGCTTTCAGTCTCTTAATTTTTTTCCTGTCTTCAATCCATCTCATGTAAGTCTTATTTTAGGTTATTTTGATGATGATCACCACTGTTTGGTTTGAAGGGTGTGGTCTTACGGGTGTGTTATGGTCTTCTTTTTGAAATAGATAAAAACCTGACAGAATAGTTTTGTTCAAGTTAAAAGCTTCATATTGTATGTTTTGTCTGGTGGACAGTGTATAATGGATAAAGTGGAGCATTTCAGAAGCCTTATTGATGACGCTGATCTGTCATAATGAGTAGCTGTTTAGCTTTTTCTAATGATGAGTTCTAATTGATTAATAATATTTTATATAATAAGGTCATGGAAGCCATAATTGTGTAGTAGAAGGGAATTCTGATGAGGGAGAAAATTGCTTCTTTTGCATGTCTGCTTGGTGTCACATACTTAATATACATGAATACTTTACAGTATAATATAGGTACTTCTTGACTTAAATCCAAAACTGGAGGTTGAAGGGTAAGAAGTTAGGTATAAGGCATTTTGAATGTCCTGGTGAAACTAATTAGACAGTTACATAATTCTATCACATGAGTGGAAGGGTGTTGTCATGGTGAGGCTTCAGTGTGCTTTATTTATTGATGTCTCACTATTATAACATTCACATTAAAAGAGAAGTTGTAAAGGTGATGGTTCTTAGTTTCCATAGGGTTGTTATTATTCTCGGAGAGAATAGGTGAAATAGTCCAAACAAAGAGAAGACAGCATAAATTATATTTCATTCTCTGTTGTATCATGTAAAAATTCTGAAAAGAGAAAAAGTGTTCCTAACAACTTTTACTAGTTCTTTGTTATTTTCTACCATCATGTAACTGCCTTCTGGCCACAAATAGAAGCTTTTCGTGACTTGGAAGAACATGACTTTTAAGAATAGACAAGGGGAAAGTCAGAGGAGGGAAATAGTTACTGAATGTCTACTAATGTGCCAGGCACATGCTTCCACCCCAAGGACCTCAGGTCACCTTTGGGAGCATTGTGCCTGTTTTGGGGGATGAGGAAGCTGAATGATAAGAGGATATTAAGGGACCCAGGGTTCCAGAGCCAGTGACTGGTGCAGCTAGGTCAATGTCCCAGGCCTCCTCTACTCAGGGTGCCTTTTTCAAAGCCTCCAGCCTCATAAGTGCGACGCTTGAATGGAATGTACTGGCGTGTGTTGTACCTTCTGGGCTTGGACAGGAGAACTTCACTAAGGTTTTATTGTACCTCTGTTATGGAGAACAGGGTGGTGGGGGCACTTCTGCCACAAACTCACACTTACTAGTAGGAAGGAAATTCTAAATGTTAATATTACATTTCATTCACTTTGTCCCTGCTCTCCTTCCTTTTCCCAGCCACTAGGTTTCTCACACTTACAAACTCAACATCACACCTTTTCATTTGGGGATTTGCATTTCTGGCTGAATTGCTTCTTCTGAAAGCAGTGCATTCTATGAGGCACCCAGACAAAAGAAAGTAGAGGCATTAGGAAATCTAGATTTCAGTCACCTCTGCTACTGGTTTTGTTGAGTAAGATATCAGATTTGGAGAAGTTGCCAAAAATGGAAAATGAATTCTTGCATAATTGCTGCCTCCTCCTGCCCCCAATTTTAAGGAAAATATTATAGAAAAATAAATGATGTAAGAAATATCATGTGTATGACTCTGCGTGTGTATGTAGCATGCATGTATTCTGTGTATCTGTTGGTATGCATTTTCAAAGCTCTCTAGGCTCTCACTATCTTAAATCAGAAAAACTGGTTATTATCCTTTGATTTTCCTGTCCAACTAGTATTCACACACTGAGGGTCTCTGCATCCCCATTCTCTACATGTGAGCAGAAGAGTCCCTGGTTATTTCTACCTTTCTGTATAACACATAGGGCTGAGAATTTGCTACTAGGGCTTCTGGAGGGCCAACTAGTAGAGAACTCTGGTAAACTGATTCTCTGTTTTTAGTTTAATAATTAGTGTTTCGAGTTGATTAACTTATTTATGTGCAGTGCATTAGAATTGGAGTTAGAAAACTCTTCAACATTATTGAGGACCATAATAAAGGAATCTTTCTGAATAATAAATAGAAAAAAAGACAACTATAATTATGTGGGTAAAAAGTAAGTAGAGAAGTTGACTCAAAAATCACAAGTTACTAGATTGTGTTCATACTTATGAAATTAATGTCTAATTTAAAAAGAAAAAACAAATCTTTCCTGTTTAGCCATGCAGTTAGTTACCCAATTTCTGGAGAGCCCCGCAAGTCTCCTGCCTCTCTCTCTGTCTTAACTCCCATATCCAGTTTCCAAGTTTTACATCTTTCCTCTGTCTCTTTTTTGGGCAAAGCCCTCAACCACTCTGCTTGGCATTTTCACGTCTTTTCTTTTTCTGCCTCTAATTTTGTACCGTCCTTCAGCTTCCCTCCCTGATGCAGATGTGATGGCATTATTTTTCTGGTTCCCCGTGTCTGCAGGGTAAAGTCTCTATGATATGGCCCTTGCCTACTTTTACCTTCCTCAGAGCCTTTCTGCATGCTGAGCTCCCTTTCTGCCTAACCCCGACATTTTCCAGGTGATACTGGTGTTTTCTGTTCCCAAATGCTTTGGTTAGAAAGCTCTTTTCACATCATTTACCTGCCAAATGCTCCAACCTCAAGGATCACCTCTTCTGTGAAGCTTTCCTGACACCTCTCCACCCTTCAGCACATGCCAGGAGAAGACTGAGACCTCACTGGCCCTATCAGTGTTATCCCTAAACACATTATTGTATTTAATTGTTGCTTTGGTCACTTTGGGAATGCGGTCATATGTTACTCTTTTTTTTTTAAAATTTAAAATCTTTATTGTTGAGCATATTACAGATGTCTCCCTTATCCCCCCATTACCCCCCCTCCAGCCAGTTCTTGCCCGGCCCCAGGCCTTTACCACCCTATTGTCTGTATTCTTAGCTAATGCATATATGCATATAAGATCTTTGCTTACTCTCTTCCTGCCCTCCCACCCCACTTCCCTCTGAGATTCCTCAGTCTGTTCCATGTTTCCATGCTGATTCTACTTATTCATCAGTTTATTTTATTCATTAGATTTCTTGTTTGTTTATTTTGATTTTTAGATTCAATTGTTGAGAGATATGTATTTATTACTATTTTATTATTCATATTGTTTTTACCTATTTGTCCTTATTCTTTTTCCTCTTCTTAAAGAATACCTTTCAACATTTCATGTAATACTGGTTTGATGGTGATGAACTCCTTTAGTTTTTTCTTGTCTGTGAAGCACTTTGTCTGACTTTCAATTCTAAATAATAGCATTACTGGGTAGAGTAAGCTTGGTTGTAGGTCCTTGCTATTCATCACTTTGAGTATTTCTTGCCACTCTCTTCTTACTTGCAAAGTTTCTGTTGAGAAATCAGCTGACAATTGTATGGGCACTTCCTTGTAGGTAATAAACTACTTTTCTCTTGCTGCTTTTAAGATTCTCTCTCTTTGTCTTTAACTTTTGGCAATTTAATTATGATGTGAGCTGGTGTGGGCCTCTTTGGGTTCCTCTTGTTTGGGATTCTCTGTGCTTCCTGGACTTGTAAGTTTATTTCTTTCATTAATTAG